CCCCCCCCCCCCCCCCCCCCCCCCCCCCCCCCCCCCCTTTTCCTGCTTTGTGTTTAGAGTATCTTGCGACCCCTCTGACGTGCCAATCGTCCTTAGAGGAGGCATCTTACATTCAGGAGGGGAGGTAGGAGGTTGCGCATATTCTCCTCCCATCCTGGCCTTGCTACGCCCCACCATATTGGAAAAGAAAATGACGGTTGAAGATGAAGAATAAGAAGAATGAAAGACAAGAAGAAGAGGAATGGAGGAGGACGAAAGGAAGAAGTAGAAGAAGCGGAAAAAGAAGATTGAAAAAGAAGAGTAGGGGTAGAAGAAGAGGAGGGGAAGGAGGATGAGGCCGCCTCCTGGGCCGAAGGCCTGGTTGAACCTTGGCACTCGGGTATGCGAGGCTGGCCGTGTCGGGTAACCTATAGTATGTAAGTATATGAGTAGGGCATTTTGTGACGCTCGGGGTGGGAGTGTGGCTATACCCCTTACGAGATCTGGATTTGGGTTCGGGTTTGGGTCGGGCTGGGTTGGAATGGTGTTCAGGGGCGGAGCTGACGGTGGAATATCTGGGTCGGGTTTGGTCGGGTCGGAATGGATTTTGGGTCAGAATTGATATATTTCCCCAATGGGCCCATTTGGTACACCAATGGGCGAACCCTCAGTTGGTACACCCATGAACTGTCGAAGCACACACCCAAGTTTGAATCCATATGCCATCAGATGAACTGAAGGTAGAATATTTGATAATGTGGCACACTGTTCATCAATCTGGTTGACATGATGATATTGTGATCGACGAGCAGAAGCTTCTGGAAGCACAAAAACCAAAGGAGGAAGCGGCTAGGCCAGATGTTGTGCTGAAGACAACCACTGGAAGTCCCAAGTCTTCGCCGGGACCGACGAGAACTCGAAAACCGATTCCAAATTCTGCGCGAGCTCACGGAACACATGTGCTTCCCATGTGAGTTGCTCCATCTATCATTCCCCCCTTCTCCCCCCCCCCACCAATCTCACTCTTATCTAACCAAGGCCGGAATGTGTCGATGTCTCAAACCCGTGCTTTTTTTGGCTATCTTCTGCTCTTGCATTGCTCTGGGCTGCAGTGTGCATTGTCATGACTGTTTGCTCCAGTGCTTGGTTCAGTGTTTCACTTTTTGTTGTATTGTTGGTCAATCAGTGCGAACGGCAAGAAGGGACCAAGCAATGGGACCATATGACGGGACTGTGTGATAGGAGCATGCAATGGTGTCATCTAGAGGCTGGCAGAAAAAGGGCCACTCAATGGGGTCATGCGGCAAGACCACACATGGGACCAGGACCAGCAAAAAGGGACCATGTGATGGGACCACATGCTAGGATCATGCAATTGTGTCATGTAGAGGCTGCCACAAAAAGGACCATGCGACTGCTCTTCAAACGAGAAAAACAGGCAACTGGCGACCACACGATGGGACCAGCACCAGCAAAAAAGGACAATGAAGTGGCACCAGGACCAGTAAAAAGGGACACATGCAATGGGGCTACATGCTGGGACCATGTAATGGGACTATGTCATCTAGAGGCTTCCCAAAAAAGGCCATGCGATGCGCCCATTCAAGGAGACCATGCAATGGCACCAGGACAAAGGGAACATGTGAGGAGGAGGTCAGGACACGGAGGTGTTGATTCCTCGTTGTCTCTGCACATCTTCTGAGTACCAGTGGTACAGCTGGGTGTTGTTGCAAAAACATCTCGGCACCACTTTACCATGGTATGGCTTGGCAAGCCTGCTGGCCTAATTGTTGCTGCCAGGCACCGCTTTATCATGGTATGGGCCTGGCTACTGCGCCGGTCTAAGCATGGTATGGCTTGGCAACCTCGCCGGGGTACTTGTTGCTGCCAGGTTTCCTACCTGGTACAGGCGGCATGCCAAATTGTTTCCCATCATCACCTGCTAGTCTGTGGAGCTTTTCCCCATTCATGTGACTTCGATCTTCGCCAAACTCTCTCTCTCTCTCTCTCTCTCTCTCTCTCTCTCTCTTTTCTGCAAGGTCCACACACACTCTCTCTCTCTCTCCCTCTCTCTCTCCCTTTCTCTCTCCCTCTTGCTTTTCTGCAAGGTTCACTCTCTCTCTCTCTCTCTCTCTCTCTCTCTCTCTCTCTCTCTCTCTCTCTCTCTTTCTTGTCTTCTGCAAGGTCCACAGCACGTGTATTTTGTGTGATATTGAGATTCTGGAGCGGTTCACTTCATATTCCCCCTTTTTAGCTCACAAAAAACTACTAACTCTGTCTGTACTCTTGAGGCGCTCGATTTCTTGTAGAAGTTGCTTGGTTTTCCCCCTTGACTCTCTGAATGTCTTCTTGAATAGGAGGATCATCATTTTTGGCTCGCTCAATTAGAAGATCAACAGACTGCTTCCTTTTCTTTGCTTCTTCTTTTGGTTTGAAAGGGCGATGGCCAAGCTGACCTGCCCCGGGTAATTCAGAATTATCTTATTCTGTTCACCTGATTGCATCTGACTGGGTTTGAACTTCTTCCGAAGACTCAAACCATGTCGAAATTGTCATAGCAGTGACGGGTCTGCCTGTCCGCATCTGCATCTTCGTTCAGTTGGCGGCTTCCATGTCGGCTTGAAGCAAAAACAAAAAACAAAAAAACAAAAGAACTCCCCCGTCCCCTCCATCCACGTTCTCTCCTCTGAGCAATGCCCATGGTCATTGCTTGACAACCCCCCTTCTCTCCCATGACCCGTCCCAACCATCTTCGATGCCTGACTCCCTGTTGCGATCTGCCATGACCCCTTGGCATTATGAATCGTTGGTCACCACATGTTTGTTCCTTGAGTGTCCTCCTTGGCTCTCTCCTGAAACCAAAAAGGGAAAAAAGGAAAACCAAAATGAACTAAACCCATGGCTTCTATAACCAAACTCCTTGCCAAAATGCCACACTGTTTTTCAAAGTTTTCGTTTCCTGAACCCGAAACTACCTTAATCACTTCCCTCTGTGCTTCCTTTTTCGCCCCTCACAAATCCCACAGGTACGTGAAGCACGCAGATGGATGGATTCCTCTCTCTCTCTCTCTCTCTCTCTCTCTCTCTCTCTCTCTCTCTCTCTCTCTCTCTCTCTCTCTCTCTCTCTTTCTCTCTCTCTCTCGATGGATCGATCGGATTAGTGGGGATCGAATCCAGCGCAGCAAGCTATTCGTAATTTCCATACAATTAAAAAAAAAAACAAAACGGGAAGAGGTGGGAAATCTATGGTTCCCTCCCACCAATCATCCCTACCCTGATTAGATGGGCTCGAATCCAGCGCAGCAACCTATTTGCCATTTCCATAGATTCACAAAAAAAAAACGAAAAAAAAGGTGGGAGATCAATGGTTCTCTCCCGCCAATCATCCCTACCCACATTAGTGGGGATCGAATCCATTCGCAGCAACCGTTTCGTCATTTCCACAGATTTCAACAAAAAAAAAACGAAAAAGGGTGGGAGAACTATGGTTCCCTCCCACCAATCAGCCCTGCCCACATTAGTGGGGATCGAATCCACCGCAGCAACCTGTTCNTCTCTCTCTCTCTCTCTCTCTCTCTCTCTCTCTCTCTCTCTCTCTCTCTCTCTCTCTCTCTCTCTCTCTCTCTCGCTCGCTCGCTCCCTCTCTCCCCTAGACCCTTCTAGTGGAACAGGTAGTGAAGCATGGGCATTGCTTAACCTTTGCAGATGCATGTGTTGCTGTAGCTATCCCCTACAGAACAGTGGGCTGTTTGCATCTGTTTTAAAGATGTTCTATGTAGCATTGTTCAAGTGGATTAATGTGAGGCCTGTTCATTCCGTGCATTGTGGTCTGTTTGCAGCTATGTGATGTCGCTGTCTGGCATGGACCCTGGACTACTGATGAGTGGCGAAAGTGGGTTGGTGGCCACGAAGGATGCTGTTGTTGTTCTTCAGACGAATAATGACAGTATACCTCTAAGGTGCGAAGCGATGAATGATCAGCCGCCTCTTTTTTTGAAAGTGAAACGACTTATTATGTTTGTGAACTTCTATGTCATGAAAGGAAGAGTTGCACCGCTAAGGATTATTTTTCTTCTTCGTGTTTGTACATCATGAAAGGAGGAATGCTGCTTGATAAAGACGAGAACGAGGAATATGAGGAAGGAAAAGAAGAATATAAAGGAGGAGAAAAAGAAGGAGAAGAAGGAGGTGAGGAAGACGCAGAGGAAAGAGAAGAAGAAAAGAAGAGGAAGGAGGAGGAGGGCAATGACAAGGCGGAGAGAAGGAATGAAGAAGAAGGGGGGGAAGGAAGAGGAGGAAGATCGATGCCGTTTACAGCAAAGAACAATCAGCTCAGGGCTGATCCTATGCGTGTTTTGACATTCCTAACCGAGCGGCAGGGGAGGAGGAAGAAGGGAAGAAGGGAGATGGAAGATGGAAAGCAGGGAGATGGAGAATGGGAGAAGGAGATGGGAGATGGGAGAAGATATGTGGAAGATGTGCGAAGGAGAAGAAGAGGAGATGAGGGGGGAAATCTGACAGGGAGGGAGTTGAGAACAATCAATCGGCACAGAGGTTGGATTGTGTCTCTGCTACTGACTTGTGAATGTCACCCATCAATATATGCGATTTTTTTATTTTTCATTTTATTATTTTAATGAAAGTGTGCTCCAATTGGACCCAGTTCCCCCCCCATTACGTGCAAAAACTCCTCTCTACAGGGAGCAACTGGACGCAGTCCACCCCCATTATGTGTAAACTCCTCTCGACAGTATACCTGTCTTTTTATTTTATTTTATGTCTGTTCTGTCCACAGGTACATTATGAACCTCACAACTTTTTTTGTCATGGCTGTGCAATTTTTTTCTGTCTTTTCTGGTCCAGCTACGTCTCTGAACATCAACGGTGGACATCAGATCGCACCAGTGTGACTCGTGACATCGTCGCAGGTGCTGCCATGGCACTCGGTGGACTCGCTGCACCGTATGAGCGCTACTCGCCGCGGAAGGAGCAGAGGGTCGAGAACTGGATCTGGGGCAATGGTCATCATCCTTTTGGACCATTTAGCAACTGTACAACAGTCAGCGACATTCTTCTTGGAAACATGGTGGTCAGTAGACTCAGTACCAATATATATATATATATCTATCTATAAAACAACACTCTTTTGGCCCTAGGCCATAACGCTGCGCGTCGATTTCTTTGTTTTCCTTCTATCTTGACCTTTTGATCTTGAAGTGGGAAGGCAGGATGACCCTAGAGCTTGATTTCCAAGAGAATGTTGCTATCCTATTTTGTTGACACGTAATCATTTTCGCTTCTCCTTATTCTGCGGCCATCTGGACGACGGAGGTTTTCTTTCGCTATTGGACCTGGTGGCCGTAGTTCGTGGCGGGGAAACGAAGCTGAAGAGAGCGAGAAGCGGTTAACAGAGCCCTAAATTTTCAGGCGGGTTTTTTCAGGGTCATTATAACAAAGTCCCACACCTTTTAAGCCAGACTTGTCACCGGTCCATAGAGTGGACACCAAATAAACCAACAGCGAAAAAAAAACAGAGTGAAAGAAATTGTATCAAAAGGGCCTTAAACCCCAAGGCAGAAGTGTGTTTTCATGCAAAATTCGCTCTTTTCAGTGTTCAGGATTTTCTGGATTTCACGGCTGGCCAAAACAGTCATATCCAAGACTCTAACAAACACCAAACTCAGCGCACGCAGACCTTGACCAAAAATGAAACAGGACCAAAAAAAAAAAAAAAAAGGAAGCTGAAAAAAAGGTTATCCCCAAATGCACTTTTCTGTGCTGGGGGGGTTAAGCAGGGCTGAAAAGTGGGGGTCCCTGTTAACCGCTTGTGAAAAGAACACACCGCAAGCACAAAAGCATAGAAAAAAAGGGCTCAGTTCGTAGTAACTTCGTACGCTACCTTTTGGCGCAAGTGGATCGTACTTTTCCCTGCCAACCAACCGTACATCCATGTCATCAGTTGCATTTTTTTTTTTCCCCATTTCATCCTAGACTTTGTTGTCATTCACTGGAATTGGCCGTACACGACTTCATAAATCCTGCTGCCTGTTTTCCCGTTCCCGGCCGGTTTTGGTTGATCGTTTATTTTCGCTCTGGGTCGCGTGCCGGAACAAATAATCCACCAACCCAACCACAACTCCTCTCTGCTGCCGTACGGAGGACTGTCCAGATTTCAACCTCTACCGGCAAGTCCTCATGCATGCAGGCGGAGCCGCGAGGGCCCATCTTGTTTTCTCGTCTTTCTTTTCGTTTTGCATTTTGTACTGATGTTTATTTCAAGCCGTCTCCTGTTGCGAAGTGGAACTAAGTGAGAGAATGATGGGCATGGTCCTTCGGGACATCCCGGTAAAATTGGATCGATACAGAGAAGATTAGCATGGCCCCTGGGCAAGGATGACACAAATAAATTGAGAAATGGTCCCCAAAAAAAAACAAAAGACGGGCATGAAGTTGGAGCAGGACGGGGTTTCGCAGACCGCAAAACGGGTGCAGGCACCCTCTCCTTTTTAGAAAAAAAAACATTTCATTCTGCAGCGGAGTCGTGCAGACCATAGCTGCACTGCCTAGTCACGCAATTTTCACGCACCGAGCGACGACAGCGATACAAAGAGCAGTCTAAGGTCATGAGCGGCGAGGAGTTTCTCTCGACCACACCACCGCTGCATCATCAGCAAATAAAAGAACAGAAAAAAAAAAGAAAAGCATGAGGGCCCTCAGTGACACTCCTGTGTTATAATAGTTTCTTCCTGAAAATAGAGCAAAAGCATGGCTTTCTGGAATTAAGAGTCTTTTAAGACGGATACCAGCAAATGCGGTGGCGGTGTGGTTTTACGTGGAACTAATTCAATCGGAGTGACATTTGAAATATGAGATTGTGAATGCATTCACTGCTTCAGCAAAATCCACACATCATGGTCGTCGCGGTCAATATTTTTTAAGACGGATACCAGCAAACCTGTCTCTTATACACATCTAGATGTGTATAAGAGACAGCATTCACTGCTTCAGCAAAATCCACACATCATGGTCGTTGCGGTCAATATTTACAAAGCGAAGAGGAATAAATGCAAATAATAATTTAATAATTCATTGATGTGTGGCATTTGCTATTCTGATACATGCTCGCGGTGTAGTGGACTATTTGAAGTTTGAAACTTTTTTTTCTTTTTCTTTTTTTTTTTTGTAGTACAGAGATCAATTCAAATAGTTACAAGGAAAAAAAACAGGGCTACCAACCGGGGTGGCTGTGTTACCTTGGTTGCCCCGGACGGCCCGACCAGGCCAGGCTGAGGGTCAAATCAGAATTCCTCACCAAATCGGAGATAAAACAGAAAATAACAAAATCACACTGATGCATCCCCTTCAAACCCCCTTAGCCCCTTTAAAACAAATTTATACCCTCAAAAAATGGAAACAGCCCGGATTTGGGATCCTCTGGAAGAGCGCAGAAAGGCAAAGAAAAGAAAAAAAATGCACGCCCAGGTGCCCGGCATGAAAATCTTCCTAGTAGAATACCCATTATACCCTAGATATAAAATAAAAAAATAAAAATGATGTCCAACAAATCCCCCATGACTCCCTCCTCCGTGCTCGCGGGATCAGATCTACGTCTGTGAGGTAACCCTTGTTGCAAAGTAAAAGGTGTAAGAACCCTCGTCTCATAGTGGAGTGCTTGTACTTTTTCGGACTTTCCAATCCTCATCGGAATTTTGAAAAGCTTTTCTCTTTGCTTCCGGTTTTAAATCTGCGGCATTTTATGTCCGTCTGTGCAGAGAAATGCCATTTACTCGCGTGTGGACACGGCATTGCGATTGCTGCGGAAGACCTTGGCGGTGAGTAAATTGTATTCATAGACGATTGAGCTCAAGGTTGTGCTCTTGTAACTTGTTAAAGGAAAGTGACAAGAGAGAATTTAATATTTATGGCTGCGGAAGACCCAATCGAGGGCCTGAGATGTATGTTTTTTTTTTCATCTTGACCGTTTGTTTCGCAAAGTGCGTTCTTTTAGTTCATACTGCTCAATAGTTATGGAACTTATGTGACACTATATAGCATAACTATTGAGCAGTATGAAGTACTATGAACTAAAAAAGAGTGCACTTTGCGAAATTAGCATAACCAGTACAAGGATGACATGCGTAAATCGAGAAATGGTCCAAATTTTTGTGGTCGAAAAAAAAAGAAGTTACTAACCACCAAAAAGTACTTGTGCTGGATTTAGTGCTGGACTGTGCACACAACAATTTCAATCTTGTATTCTCTAATTTCTATTTCCGCCTTTATATGTCGTCTTCCGCGGCAGATTGAGACCTGACAATGGGCCTATAGCTCCACTACTCTCGAAATGTTTAAAATGAGAGTGAATCTTCCGCTAGAACATGGAAAAATACGCCGCCATGATTCGCTACGGATTTTGTTTCATTTTTTTCGGAACGATGTCGACGTGGGGTAGGTGGCAGATGATGATCGAACGAAAATTTGTTTCCGCGATAGTCTCTCATGTCAAATTTGCGCCATTAGCAAAGGGGATTGCACTGAGGTCAAGACTCGAGACTCAAGATAGATCTTTGCAGCAGTTTTGGGGCCAGAAGGAGCAATGCTTCAGCCTCATTGAAGGGCCCCTTGTTAAAGCAGAGCACCACGTCCGTCCGAGCCTCTTTTTCGCAAGGCTGATTTCACCGGCGCGGGCACGACTTGTTTATTTTCAGGCTTGCGGTGACAGCAGTTTTGGTCAGCAAACGCCCCCCAAAGTTGCGGTGTGCGTCCATCTTTTCACTCTTATGATTTGATACGTCGCGGTGGCTCAAAGTTTCAACCGCAGTGTCATGCATGCTAGCTTCAGGAATGGCTGGCCTGTCAGCCATCGGGGAGGGCGGCAACGGTCTCTAAAATGTCGAGTCCACCGACTTTGTGATTCGTGCACTCAACAGCTCTATAGTACTCATTGAAAGATTGTGAAAAAGAAGCGCACTTCATCTAGTCTCCGCAAGTATGCTCTGGATACATATGTTGGTGGTGGCGAGAGTACGCTCTCATTGACATTCGGATTTTGGTGTTTTGGTTCTCCGTTGGTGGAATATCAGCTTTCTGGACAGCGTTGAACTTTCTGGCTTTCAATGTGATTTTGCGTTCTGGATTTCTGTCATTTCGCTATCGCTCATTTTCCTTGCATTATCTCCTAAGAGTATTATAACCATTTTTTATTTCGTCAGGATTGGAACTAATGATCTGTTTGCCCATTGTTACATGTGTGTAATACTGTACAGAGTACATCCTTCAGCCACACGGGCTGGGTAAAACCCTAAACCCCATATGTGTCTGACAAGATCTGTTCTTTGTTGGCATGTCCTTTTTTTTTTTTTTTTTCTTTTCTTTTGTGGTTGTGTAGTCGATCCAAGCATTTGCAGATCAGTATTTGAGCACACCCCTCGGTGATCCCATCGTGACTGACAAAAAGCCAAAGAAGCAATGGATCGATCGGTTGTACAAGGACCCAACAGCCTCCTTCCAGCCGCTTCCAAAAGAGGCCGTCGACTCTCTGAGCCAGAAATTGATGGTGAGCTCCAACAGCCCGATAAATTTTCCATTGGTTAACAATTAATTTATTTCGAAAATTCAAATTTGAAAGGTTTCAAAATGGAAGCGTGAAAATAAAAGTATTGACTACGAAACTGTTTTTTTGAATTTTTTTCAACTTTTTTGATTCGAATGTTGGATTCGAACTGTGGATCGACTTTGCGTAATAGTATATGGAGTATCAAATTACCTTCAATGTATCATGAATAATTAACAAATTTATTAATTTAACTTATTTAAGTTAATTTAACTTAATTATTACCTGAGAATATTTGTAAATAATACGATTCTTGAGAGGTGGTTAAAGTTGTTCGTGTTTTCTATTTTTTTTTATTTTTTTTTTGAATCTTCTCGTTCCATTTTTCAGAGAAGGCAAGACAACTTTTTTTTTTTTTTTTTTTTTTGACTTGACACTAGAGGGTATATTCTTATCTCAATTTCTACCTTTCTCTATCTAGTATCTACCTACCACTACTCCCAAGCCTATACAGAAGACTTAGCTTTAAAGGTTGTTGGAAGACACGTTGATGTTTGGGGGGGGGACGCTGGTGCAACGACTTGCTGGTTTCTGGTCGTCTGTAGCCTCTCTCTTGTCGAGGCTGTACTCTCTGTCGGTTAGATTCGTTATTTTGTTTGGCTGAGGGCTAACCGAGAGACCTGCCTGTAAGGAAAATTCGTGAGGGACATATCTGTAAATCCGGAAAATACAGGCCCATACGAACTGAATTTCCTACAGCTACTCTAACTGGGAATAGCAGACCTGGGCTACCCCTAGGGCAGACGGGCCCTAAGGGCCTAAGCTGATAGACGGTCCTATAGCCTATAGCCGGTGTTGGGAGAGGGCCTAGAGGTCGAAACAGAAACGGTACCGGTCGGTCGGTCAGTCAGTCCGGTCTGGTTCGAGTCTAGGCTAGAGTAGACTACACATAGGTTAGGCACATCTGTTCAGGGCTTTTGGCGGTTGGTACCGAGTACATCGCAGCTGTGCTACGTGTGAACCGGAAGTGGTGACGGCTCAGCGTGGGAAGAGACAGACATAGCCAGACCTTCGGAGCGCCGGCCATAGCTGGGACCTACGCTGTACTCTGTCAGCACGCGGGCTGTAATGAGGTCTGGGCTATTCGAGGTCTGCTGGAGGCGAGAGAAGTTGGTGCCCTGCTGGACCCTCCTCCGGAGTAGGGCTACAGGGTTGCGGTGCTGCAGCCATAGCTGCAGCTTCTTCCTCAGAGGTCATCTTGTCAGGAGATCCAAAACGACACACAAACTTTCGAGCTCGTTTCCTTTTTTTTGTGTCGTTTTGAATCTCCACGTCCCCCACTTTCAAGCGTTTCCAAACAATGTACTGTCAGTGCCTTCCTTTTTCTTTTTTTTCATTGCAAATCATTTGCTCGTCTTTGTTTAAGGAACGTCATTTGCCTACCTGCATCTCGCAAAATGGAAGTGAGATAATGATGCCTGCGTGACCCATGTGAATAGTCCATGACATTCACGTAAGACACATCTTGGTCCTTGGAAACCATCCCTTCCCCTCCCCCCCCCCCGCTCCCCCCTCCCCCCGCCTCCCCAAACCCGACCCATTGTCAGTGCCTTTCAAGAAAGGACACCCTTCCCCGAAAAAAATAAAAAATAAAAATAAGAAGAAAGGATACATGTCCTTTACTTTTACGAGTGTTTATCGTTTCGTATCTTTTACGAGCTTGTGATTCTTTTATTCTTTTGTTTTGTTTTCGTAATCCATCTCCATTTCCCAATCGTAATTTTTACGAGTTCAGTCGTTTCGTAACTTTTACGGCTGTTCGGTCGTTTCGAGTGTTTATCATTTCGTAACTTTACGAGCTGTTCGGTCACACCAGAGTACGAGGAGCCCACAGGGGTGCATGCGGGCTTGAAAAAGAAGTGAAATTTTAGTTAAAAAAAGGAAACAACAAAGTCCACGGGGGCAGCAGCCTCAAGCAGCCGTAATGGAACAAAATGTCAGGCTCCTGCCGCTGACACCTTGGGTCCCGTCAGATAGAAAAAAAATCCACAACATAGGTTTAATTTATCCTTGTGGTGTGTGAGTGAGTTGGAGGACACTATAGCCTTGCAGGGGTGGGGTGGGGTGGGGGTGGATATCTTTAACCGATATGGTTCCCACTTTTGTTTACCCCTGTCCTGGCTGTAGCGGTTACGAGACTCTGCTGTCATGGCCGAGGGCGCCTGGTCGAATCCGTGCTTGTTTCTTTTTCTTCACGTTTCTCACTTTTGAGGCATGGAGGCGCTTTGAGGCCTGATTGTTAAACAATTGCTTGTTTTTTTTTTTCACTTTTCTCACTTTTTTTTCATTTTTCTCACTTTTCTCACTTTTCTCAGTTTTGTATCTCTTTGCTACCCAGTTTTTGTTACGTCGTCAATTTCTGCTGTGCTGTGGCTATATGTTTTATGAACTTTTATTAAGTTTTTATAACTATTAAGTGTTTTTATAACTTTTTAATTTTTAAATGCATTGTTCCCTCGTTCTAAGGGCAATACTCGCACACCAGGACTTTTATTACTTAGCTCTGGAGGTGATTGTACGCAGTTGCATCCAGGTCCGGCTGGAATCGCAGTCAGTATCGCTTAGGAAAGCGCTGGCGTGAGCAATCTCTAAGCGGTTGTGTGTTTTGTGCGAATATTTTGTCTGCTTCCACTTATCTGCGCAAGGTGTTGGTTGGATTGTGTTGCAGGAAATGGAAAATCTAATGGTGGACATGAGCGGGCTTTTTTACGACCATCACTATGATGAGGCACACGTGAAGTCGACCACACTCTACCATCTCGTCAAAGCCTTTGAAGCGTGAGTTTTTTTTTGTCTTGTCCCTCACTCAATGAATGTCCCACCTCGTCTTTATGTCGAATGCCCCCCTTACTCTTTATCTTCTGTGCTGTTCTGCATGTGTAGATTGCTCAGTTGATTGCAACTGCTTTGTACTTTTCTCCCACTTTTGCTTCATTTGCTTGGCCTATCTTCTTGCTGGAATCATGTCTTTCTAGACCGCGCTATCTTCACTATCTATTGGGATCTCCACCTAACCACCCTTTTCTCAACAACAACAACCCCTCCCCCCCCCCCCCCCCCCCCCCCCCCCCCCCCCCCCCCCCCCCCCCCCCCCCCCCCCCCCCCCCCCCCCCCCCCCCTTCTCTCTTTCTCTCTCTCTCTTTTGCTATGTGTGTGTGTGTGGAAGAGTGGTGGTTCTGAGTCGTCAGACCCTCTAGCAAATGAATGGTATTGTCAGAGTGCTCATATACATAACGACACCCTTGCTTCCATGTTACCTATCATTGAGGCTTTAGTGGGATTGCTATCTGATGCGTCTGTTTGGTGGATATGTCCGTAGGTACGCGGACGACCAGATTTTGGCGGCGAAGGAACGGATGAGGTGCTGTGAGGTCCGACATGCTCCGCAGGTCCAGTCGTCACAGACACTTTTGTATGCAGGTATTTTGGGCGCAGGTTTCCTTGTTTACTTCCTGGTAATCTATTTCTCATCTCCTCACAAGTAGGATCTTTTTGCAGGCATTAGACGAGAGTGTTGTAGAGGATTAAACCGATCCTCCCTCCCAGCCTCTCTCCAGCCTGGCCTCACTCGGTTTCTTCCCCCAAAAAGCAGCAACTCTGTCTGCATGCATTTGAATGGAGGGCCCTACACGGTCTCCTTCCCCCGCGGCAGGTTTTTAACAGCTCAAGGGGAGAGAAATCAGATCCATAGAATTCGCCAGTCGATCCATCGGTTACCTGATTGCCTGATGGCACCTCTCGTTGCTGTTCATTGATCTTCGCCGAAGTCGCGCAGACTTGCGCTGTTATTGGCTGATAGATGGAAGGCGATCTCAATGGTTCAGGCAGGCAAAAGTGGCCGGAACGGAGTGACAAGCGGCACTTGAGCAGCAGTGAAGCATGGACGCTTCACTGATTGCCCCCAGGAGGGCAAATTGCAGTGTGATAAAAAAAATCCCACGAAAGTTGTGCTGTTCGGGCGGAAGAGGAGCCGGAGTTGTCCTCCCTTTGACAAGCGAGCACACAGTTCTCTTCCCCACGAAGCCTGTGGTGGGGACCACCACAAGATTTGGATATGCAACTGTGACTGTGTTTCCGAGAATCTGGGTGTTCGTTTGTAAGTTTGGACGGACGTAGTTTTCTGTTTTCTCGTCCTGAGGGCTGTTACGACAAAGCAATGTTTCGATTTGCTTTCCATAATAAGAAATCTTTCCAAAACTACGTAGGTCAGACTGTTTTTTTTTTTTTTTTTTTTTTTCCAATGTTCGCTGGGTGTTTGGTGAAGGGGAGCGAAAAGCGGATGGTCGAGGTTTCTCCAAGTGTGCCGCATGCGAGGGAGGTGCTGTGAACTTGCGATCTCTGAGTGTTCTTTTCTTTTTTTTTTTTTTTTTTTTTCTTCCTTGTTGTTGCTCCCTGCGAGTCGAATTGTGTTCCTGCTCCATCCCTGGTCCCATCTTCTCTTGTCCTCTCTCTCCTCTCTTTCTCCCTCGCCCGCCTCTTATGACGGATTGGATGCATGTCCTCTCGTCTTTGCACCCCCCCAATCCCCWCCTTCCCCTTTCCCCCCCCCCTTATGTTCCCCCCCCCCCCCCCTTTTTTTTTTCTCTCTCTCTGTTGCTTGCTGTTTGTGACTTGAAAGCATTGTTAATTTGTTAGTGGTTAGTATTACTGTTCGCAATGAGTTATTTTGCACTCTTTTGTTTTTGGAGATGGAGATTGTTCTTTAAGGATAAAGAAGAATGTACCGAGATGAGGAAGCGACTGTTTGGGTCCCTGGGAGAATGTCCATACAGCATGAACCGAAAAGAAGAAGAAAAGTTGTAAAGAGCGAGGAAGATTCGCACGCCCGGGGTACCCGGGCGTGCAAAAAAAAAAAAAAAAAAAAAAAAAAAAAAAAAAAAAAAAACGGTTTTTTTTTTTTTTTTGGTTTCCTGTGCTCTCCCAGAGGGCCCCAAATCCAGTGCAATCAGACTCGCTTTCTTTCCACGTCACACACATGCAAACAGGTGGAGATTCACACTGGCGCAGGGCTCCCACCAAAGCTTAGAGGATATGGAAATCAAGAACACAGTTCAGATGCAAGCTGTCTTCAACAGGCTATGGCGCATGAGTGCCTGAACATCCCAACCTTCGTCACTGTGTCCAACCCCACTGTTCACACACGCTCACTCTGGATCACCCTGAATACCACCACACGCATACACTACGTCTAACTTCCTCCTACAGCGGCTATGACCACTACTCACTATGGCTACAATCTCTCTTCAGCCCACTTGTCTTCGGGCAACCGGCAGACCACCTTTGCACAAGACGCTGTAGCAGCACTTCCGCATGGCTTACGCAGCGAATGAATGAATGGCTGGGCGCTGCCTCTTGATTTATACTTCCGTAACTCGTTGGTCTGCCCCTTTCCACCGGGCCCATGGTGCACACAGTCCCACACGGTACTTGCTTGACTGGAGTCTGACTGACGGGGACCAGTGCCGCTGACTGCATGGGATTGCACTGCCAACTCAATGCAGTCGCACTGCCGACGTAACGCAGTTGGCTCGCCACTTGCCCACTTGCCTCTGACTAAAGGCTCACCACTTGCCCACTTGCCTCTGACTAAACGTGAGACACTTCGAAAGGCCACTTCCGGACCTTCCGGAAGTCCGTGGACTTGGCCTTTCGGGTACTGTAGCAGCTACGATCTTGACCTTTCAGGACTGTAGCAGCTACGACCTTGACCTTTCAGAATACCTACAGCTACGACCTTGACCTTTCAGAATACCTACAGCTACGACCTCTACAAAGTTGTGACTCCTAATCCACAGACCTAGAGATCGAGCCCCTACCACTACACAGACCTACGACAGACGACAAATACTGCCAAAACAGAGATCATGGGTTCAAACACTCGGGTGTCGACTCGAGATACTGTACATGGGCAAAGTGAGGTCTGGGGATCGAATGCTAGGGCCCGCATCTGTGACTGCAGACAGGTGAAAACCGTTTCACCAGGCTCATTTCTTTCGTTGCGAGTTGGCTGTCAAGGGGGGGGGAAGGGGGATATAAATTGGTTCGAAAGGGGCTAGTGTGATACTGTTATTTTCTTTGTTTATCTCCGATTCTGTCAGGAATTCTAATGTGACCCTCAGCCAAAAGTCGTTTGTAAGAACTTTGTAATAGTTTGTATTGCAATTCTACACAACATTTTTTTTTTCCGGAATTTTATGATTTTATTTTTTTTTGGGTGCAGGGGCTGCCCGAAACCCTGCCTGAAACCCTGCCCGGGCGTCGTGCCCGGCTGGGCACCCGGGCCTGAACCCGGGCAGAAGTTGGGTGGCCAAACAGCCCAGGTAAAGAGTAAGCGCAAAGCAATAAGGGGGCCTTCAATGAGGTATTGAAGTAGGAGGAGAAGGCGGAGGCGGGGAGGAGGAGGAGAAAGGAAGTTGCAAGAATCCAGAAGAGGAAAGTAGGGACCTGAACTTGACCAGTGTGTAGAATTCAGAACCTGAAGTTGATGAGGGAGAGGGTAATGGGGCAAAAAACTGACGAGCAAAGTTTTGACAATATAGTATGGGAAAAGAACCGAGTAGAGCAATGGACAAACACGCGGAAGTCAGTAGTGGAGCGGATGGAAAGGAAAATAAAGGGCTTTGTGTGTGGGGGGGGGGTTGAGGGGGGGAGTGAGGGGAAGTGATCAAAAGGAACAAGAAGACAACCGTACTCCAGACCTAGCAGTAGCAGTAGCAGTAGCAGTAGCAGTAGCAGTAGCAGTAGCAGCATTAATATCAAAGTGCGATGAACCATGTCAAGAAGGGGATAACAGAGGAGTTTGGAACCTGATGGGCAAGAGAAGAAAAGCAGATTGGATGGAAAGGAAAAGGAAGGGCTTTTTTTTCTGGGGCGAGGGAGAAGGGGAGGTGATTAGAAGGAACAAGAAGACAACCGTACTCCAGACCTAGCAGTATTAGTAGCAGTAGCTGTAGCAGTAGTAGCAGTAGCAGTATGCTGCAATAACATAAAAACATAAACTTTGAAGATCAAAATGCGGTGAACCATGTCAAGAAGGGAATAACGGAGGCGTTTCGAACCTGATGGGCAAGAGAAGAAAAAAGCAGGTGAGGCACAAGGATGAGGAGGGGAGAGTGATTAGAGCATAGGAGAATGAAGACTGAAGAGTTTAATGATGATGGTACAAGATGTGGTTTAGGGTTGGTGACACAAATTCAACAACGGAATCGTAACTGTGACGAAAAAGCTTCATCAGTGACGAAAAAAAGCTTCATCAGATGTCTGTCAACATGTCATGAGGTGGGTCGCTCGTTCAGCAACAACGCTGCAGCTGCGCATGAACACACATGTTGAGTGCATTTGTGTAGCGTTGAGGGTAGTTTCGCAGACCTACTCGGCTGGTATTGCCAGGAGATTGAACTCTCGGATCTGCAGGGTCGGTGTAAGTGCAGTCGACCATTTTTGTGAAGGGTATTGCCAACCTGGCACGAGATGGAGATATACGTACCTTATCCATCAGTCGAATCCGTCCTGGGCATGCTGTCTGTCCAGGTTCAACCTCCTGGTGAGTACATGAAAAGTTTGATGAGACACTTTGTTACAGTCACTCTTTTTCTGTGGAATGCCACATGTGTATGTGTCTGTCTGTGTGTGGGTGTGTGTAACATGTGTGTGTGCAAAAAGCACAGTGAAAGACGCTCCAGTACACGTGACGTGTACTCCGTGCCATTGACTCATCAGGGATGCAGTCCAAGGGCACAACAACAACACACAATTTTCTCTTATCAGTTCCTTTGTAAACGTTGTCTATAAGCCATAGACTCGATTGAAAGACACAGCACACAGCAAGGCAAACAGCACAAGGCAGCAAGGAACAAAGGGTGGAGGGCATGGGGGAGGCGGGGGGGCAGACAAACAAAACAGAGCAACAAGGCACGGAAGACGGTAAAGCAAAAGACATAGGGTGGATGGCACGGGGGAGGCAGGCGGGCAGACAAACAGCACTAGGCAGAAAAAAGGAGGCGGCAACAAGTCAAGGAGGAGCACTAGGGCAGTCGAGCAGTAGCACGGAACATAGGCAGGAGGGCACAGGGGAGGCAGGTTGGCGGGCAAACAGCACTAAGCAAGAAAAGAACAGATGGGAAGCCCAGAAGCAGCAAGGCACCAAGACGACAAGGGAGACAAAAGAACAAATAGCAAAGAAAAGAAAGCGAGAAAAAGAAAACTGATGATAGATTGTTTCGTCGGAGTTGCACCAACTCATCAGGAAGCTGGACCCTCGGCAATCTGCGGAATCCCCGTATTGATGGTGTGGGTTGTGAACCCTTCAACGCTTGTTGAAGGCACAGACTGTACCCAAGCGGAACGCAGCAGCAGGGCAACAACAGGCAACGACTCAGCAAAGCACCAAGCAATGCTTCCCGCTTAACCCAACTGTGCGCGCCAAAGACAACTGCATAAACGACACGGCAAGCAGACAAGCAGCATGCCAACAGCTCAGCAAAGCACGAGGCAGCACCAATGCTGCAGCCACGCTACACGGCAGACGAGCAAAGAGCGTAGAAGGCCAGGCATCCAGATGGGTGGCAAGGCAGCATGCAGCGAAGGACGAGGCAACACCAGCAACGTAGCCACACCCCACAGTGGACACAGCAGCCTGCAAGCAATGACATGCGAAGCAAGCTGGGTGGGCAGGAAGGCAGTGGTGAAGCAATGACAAGGCAGTCTACACATCCAACACAGAGCGAAGTGGCACATCACCTACTCACATCACGATACAACCGCACAGACTGTTGGTTCCCAACACCTGCTGAACTGGGAAGGTTTCTCTGACAGACGTCTCTCATGCACCCACAGACCTTATGCACCACAAACATCATAGGCAGAGCAACCCTCTTAAGAGTCCTGCAGACAGACCTTATGCACCACAGACATCACAGACGGAGCAGCCCCTTTAAGAGTCCCGAGGGCACTCTCTGCCGATTGCCTACAATTTAGCACTTCTTACGGATGCTGACCTAGACACACAGAACCAGAAACTTCATCAAGCACTTAGAAAATATAATCAAGAAAGAGGGAATACCTGTATACAATGCATCCATAAAAAGATGATTATGTGTGTGTGCGTGTTTACGAGATATGTTACTCTGGCGATCGCTGCCGCGGCATGTTGCG